GCTACATATTTGAAAACCTATTAATTTTAATAATATTCTTTAGAAAATTGTTCAGTATGTTTTTTATAAAAAATTTGTATATTAAAAAAAGTTCATCATATATTTAAAAAGTTCAGTAGGAAGAAATGAATATGACATGTAGGCCCACATAGTAAGTGAGAGAAGTGAGTGATCCCAGTTTAATTTCGACCACACATACAATACAACTTCAAGGTTTAAAATAGACTTTACTCAACCCACTCCATTTCCTGTGATCTTTAAAAACGGAGGCATACACGCTCCTGGCCTTGCAAGGACACCATTAAGGTCAGGCAAAAACTCCCAAAGGTAACACAACTTCAAGTTGTTCCTTCCAAGATTGATATAAGTAGCGGTCAACATATATGGGAAATACGGACCTGGCAATTGCGTCCAGGATTCAGGATTCACGTACAAGAAGCACATTTCATAAAGGCATCACACTGTCTCCCATAAACCACAAATCACATTGCGGCCTTGATGGGTTGTGGATAAACTGTAGAGAGATCCATTAATGCATATACTTTAACTCGACGCATACGTGCTACAACCAGGCCCGTCGAGGAGGGTGTGCAAGCGGTGCAATCGCACAGGGCCCCGCAAATCGTAGGGGCCCCGATCAGAGAAAAAAACCATGATATGATCCGGTTCATGCGCTGCATGTTTGACTTTTTTAACTGGCTCGCCTGATCCTACCGCAAGAAAACTGCAGCCGAATGCAGCAACTCGCAGTCTCATCGTTACGGGTGAGGCCCATAGTCTTTTTTTACGAGTGAGGCCCATAGTCAATATCGTCGTTCTCCACTAGTCGCAGCAAACAGGCCCCCAGCCGGATGCACGAGATCAAATAGATAGTTTTGTCTCTCCGGAAAAAAAAAAACAACTTCACCAAAGAGAAATAGGGAGGCGCCGTCTACCTGCTTCTACGAAGGGACGAGCTGCCGATAGATGGCGGACGGCCACCGCGCGTCCGCTGTACGGCCGAACGTGGGCACCTATTTCCCTGCTGCAGCAGTCTCATCTGATCATCCCAGAATATATTCCGAGGTACTCCCTCCGTTCCGAATTACTTGTCACAGGTATGGATGTATCTAGATGTATTTTAGTTCTAGATACATCTATTTCTGCGACGAGTAATTTAGAATGGAGGGAGTAAGTCGTAATCCATAAGCCCGGATTCAAAATATGCGGACGAGAAACTAGTTAGGGTTATATATTTTTTGATACAATTCTGGTTTTTTTGATGTTTTCATATCGTACCGAATGCAATCCCTACAAATAGAGCAGTGCTACTCCACTAGGCCTGTACTTCATTTTAATCAAAATTAATAGGCTTGAGACATTACCCGCAATCTAATTTTTAATTCTAGTACCATTCTTTGGTGTGTGCTTTTCTACTATACTACTAGCATATTTCATTGCAAAAAAGACTCAATCGATTTTTTCTTTTATGAGAATAGACTCGACAGATTTAAAGATTTTGTTTAAGAAATACTAGACAGATGATGCTTTTCGGTAGAATATACGTTTACTCTTTCGCATTACTATGTGATAAATATTATACGAAATAACACATATTCAAAACTATATTATTAAGTGAAAATATGTCTAGTTATATTAGTTATACAATTTTCTGCAAACCTTTGGGCCCCGTGTCACATTTTGCACTGGGGCCCCAAATTCCTGGAGACGGCCCTGGCTACAACGTCCATATGTTCCATTGTAAGTTGCCTTATTTCTATTAGCATGAGAAAGCAACAATTCATTCTTACATACGTTTAGATTTTTTCATTATTCCCTGAGGATACATCGAACTCAAGGTTTTTCAATGGATAAGATATACTGGAAGAGAAATGAGCAGGCAAGAAACCAATGAGTAGCACATATAATCAGGTCACTCAAAAACAAGCAGACTTGGTAAATAATTTCAGTCAAGTCAAACTAGAGGGTCTTAATGACTGAAACTATTTCATAGATATATCAGGACTAAACCAAAGCAAAAGCAAAAACCACAGAGAGAAAAAAGAAAAGCATTAAGAGCTATACCAAGCTGTAGCCCTATGGTTTAGTTGTGATAAACTGAAGGCCCAACACTTGTAAAAGACTCCATATCATTGTCGGTAACAACTGTCAGCCCCCACCCTGGAGTCATGCTTCCACCCTTGGTCTGCCAATGTGCGAGTAAAGTGGAACATAGGGAAGATATGGAGGAAATGTGTCGGAGAAGTGGCTTTTCAGACTGCAGATAACACAAACTTCACCACTGTCCATGTCATGACACTAGCACATCCTTGCTCCTCCAAACAAAGAATATCAAATTGCATTCAGGATGGATTGCGATCAAAGCATAGTCCCTTTGCAACATGAGATCAGCATAGTCCTGTTGTAAGTTGAGATCCTTCTCCCCAAAAAGCTCCAAAATAAGTTGTGCAATGCTGATGCTGTACTTAAAGGTCCATTCATTACCATTATAGTCCTCAAGAGTCCAGACAGATAATTTGGAGCTATCGTTGTCTGTCGTATTTATAACATACAATCGCCCTTGGGATTGACCGATAAAAGCAAGAGGACCTACAAAAAGTTTCCCAGAATCATAGTTTCCAGCAAAGAAATGGTCCTCCATGTCTTACCCTCAGTGTCAACCGCTAGTATCTTAAACTCATAGGTGAGCAAGTGCATCATTCCATTGAAAAAGACACCTCTCATGTCAACTATCTGAATCTCATTGTCGCCCCAACCATTTTCCTTGTAACTCCAGGCTCCTGTCTCCGATGAGTAGATATTAACACCTGAGACATATCCATATTCAACATCACCCTCTAGGATCTGGAACACATGGAAATGGGGTGACATGGCTGCATCGGAACCCAAACGATATGCCAATGCATTGCTTTCATGGCCAGCATCAGGCAGGACTACCCATTCCTCAGTGACAGGATTGCATACCACATAATCGGCTTCGTCTATTGGGGAGTCCTTCCAGCAGAGGCAGAAAATAAGGCCATTGCAGCAGTCCTTTGGCAAAATCTGCCTGTATCCCGTCAAGAAGGCCAACGAGGAATCAGAGAATGGCTGCTCTTGGTTCCCCAAAATACCATCAAAAGTGGGAAATGTTACCAAATCACCCTCGTCGTTGAGCCTGTGCTTGGGGTAGAAGAAGCCGGAGAGGGTCTTGGGCAGCTTCTTGCGGTGTTGGGAGATGAGGCGGTACCAGAGCGAGGAGACACACTTGAATCGGCACACTGACTTGACAGGCAGCAGGGACAGAATCTCGACGATAAGGTCATCTGGAAAGTCAGCAGAGGAGGTTGCCCCGTTCTTGGAGCATTTCATCTGTGTGCAAGCCATTCTGACAAGTTGAGATGGAAAGCGGAAATAATCAGATCAAATATCAGTGCAGGACAGAATGAAAGGCCGGAAGGAAGAGTATAGAGGCAGAACAAACATACCAGTCTACTGAAGCAGGGAGCGCCAACAATGGAAGTGGCTGTAAACAGTAGTTCTATGGCTGGCAGCTGGGAACAATAGTTACAGTGACTCAGATAGTTGAATAAAACGCCAAACAACAAAGAATAAATCAAAATAGGACAAGCTATTGATAGCAACATAAACAAGCTTGCTAATACTATTTGAAACTTATTGGTTGCAAACAATGACATGACCAATTATAGTTCTAGTCGTACAAATATTGACGACACACAAGCTGCTGGTCTGGACCAAGCTATTGCTGCTCCATTAGAGGTCGCAGCTGGCGGTGTATATGTTCCGACTTCCGACAAATCTACGATTGAGCTACAAGACCGCAGATGAGCTACTGTTCTATATATGCATGTTTATGTTTTGCAGAACGGAAGGGGTATGGACCAAAGTGAGATATATAGTACAGGAAATAAAGGAGAACAATAATAATACTTGTGGAGAGGCCAGATTATACACGTACATATTTGGAGGCAAGCCGTACAGGTATTTTATTATTTTGCATGATTACGTGAGAGAGATAGCTGGATGGAGATATTATTATTTTGCAAACAAACTAATTAAAGTGGAGGACCTATCTGCTGCACTTATATGGTATAAATGGCAGAGGCTGGTAATCATCTACTCCTATTCCTACCACGCAGAGAAAGAAAGTGGGGATGTATTTCCATAGGTGATTTGTCGAGTCTTTGTGCTGTTGGATGGGGGCCACCTGCAAGCTTGGGGATGATGTCGGTTGCTAATATATTAGGATAGAGTTGTTTAGTTGAGGTGTGGCCGAGATGCAAAAGGCTTGCACTACCTAATATAAATAAGAGTTTGGTTCGCTTTTACGTACGTGCCGTTTCTTGTCGTCTAAGTTTTTGTCAAGTCGGCTACTCTATAAAGCCAGGGTATGAGACATTGTAAGTCAGGATATTTTAGATGAATTAGACACTATGCGTGTTCCGGCCCGTCGGCCATTATCGAGTTTAGAGAAATCTTGTTAAAAATCTCTACCGGCGTATGAGTTCATGCGACACGACACATAGGAGATCACAAGCTGAGGCTCTACGGTTCGTTCACGTTAATTATTCCTTCGGATCTAGAGGTTAGCGTGTTGTTTCGGCAGGATTTGCGAACATCTTCGTAAACATGCTACGATTACTTGCTGCCATGGAGGTTTGTTACTAGAATTTTAAAGGCTCCTTTTAAACTTTTTGGTTTTGATGAGAATCCTTTTAGAAGTTTCATCGAGTCACTTGACTTGCATTGCTGTGACTCCGAGTATACATCTGTAACTTCCACGCAGCTCCTAAGGCTAGAGGAAAACTACTGGAAACGAAGAAACGAGACCACCCATAGCACGCTAAATAGTTTTGATGTCATACCTAGTAATTCAGGCGCCACTCTCAACCCTCCGCTTGTCCTGTCCTGCCGGCGAGCTTCCGGGCCGCCGCCGCTTCCCCCCGTTTCGCCGCCGCTGCCCGCCAAATCCGGGATCGACAGGATCTCAAGCCATGCTGCCGCATAGTCAATCCATGGTCTGATTTAGGGATCAGGTCTCCAGATTTGAGAGTGGGCTGGAGGATTTGGGGGTTAGGGTTCTTGTTCGCCCTGTGCAAAGGCCGTTTGTGCGGGGGAGTTTTTTTTTTCTTTCCAGTATACTGATATAGTGATATTTTCTTTCTCTGAGAACTACTGATATAGTGATATGCATCGCGCCATAGCCTGCCTGTAGCGGCGATCGCTCACAGGGACCGGATAGATGGGCCAGGCCCAGCGCGAAGAAAACGCAAAACACTCCGATGCAAGGCTTTGGATCATTGGATGGGGGGAATTATGGAGTCCATGCAAGAAGCATAATCTATCTAAAAAAAACACAAGAAGCATATAATCCTATACGTATACTAGCAAAAATGCCCGTGCGTCACAAAAAATATATAAATATTGTACATGCAAATCCAACAATACATGAACTAAATGAAGCATATGGTTAGTATATTAGTATATATACATTTGAAATTGTAGTGGCTCAACACCGATCGTCTAGTATATACTAGTATTAAAACATGCAACATTTGGTTTTATCCTCGATAAGAAATACACATTGGATGTATAAATATCCTAAGAAAATTATTTAAAAGTAGTATATGAGATTCTTCTTATAAAAATGACAGAACACACAAGAAACTTGGAAGTGCTTAATAGCATTACATATGTGAGAATTAATCTAAGTCCAGCATATAATCGAAGGGTAGCAAATATATGTTATATGAATGCCCACGTATGTTATACGTGCAGCATGGGGCTGCAGTGGTCGGTCTCTCTCGATGCAGCTTCACTGATTTAATCAGGTCTTCATCGGGTCTTTGCCTAAGTATGTCCTCATTTAATTAAGGAGGGATCATCTCACCGATTTAACCAGGTCTTCGTCGAGTCTTCGCCCACGTACGTACGTCCTCCTCTAAATAAGGAGGGATCATCATGCATGCAAAGAGCATGTCGTTGCGTCATTGGTCTATGTAGGTTCACCGATTTAATTAGGTCTTCATCGGGTCTTTTTCCCATTAATTTCACCATATATGTCTCTATGGTAAACGGGCCAACTCTTTTCCTCCCCGTTAATTCCGTCATGGATGTCTCTCACGAATCTCAGATCTTTCCTTTCCTTCCTTAGTAAGGATAAACGAGCCCACTAGTTACCACCCCGCCCCCTCCTTATTTGTAATTCTCAAGATGACTGGTTGACTTCAGCTTGCTAACGTATATAAATTGGTAGTACTGCGTGTAAATAAGCGAGGTGGTACTATATAAGAGAAGCGAAACATGTTGCTCAAGGATCCTCACAGGGAGCGCGATATGCAAGACATGCTCGCGAAATCTTTTAGTGACCCAAATCCCACATATATGGGAGGGACCCCATGTGGAGACTTTCGCACACGACTACATAGTGTAGTGTGCTAGTCTTTGGAATACCGTTAGGAAACAACTTTTCACCAACACTATGCCCATCAGAATAGTACTCTCTCCGTCCGAAAATACTTGTCCTCGAAATGGTTGTATCTAGACTTATTTTAGTTATAGATACATCCATCTTATCTATTTCTAGGACAAGTATTTACGGACGGAGGGAGTACGATGGTAGCAGTGAATGGTCCATTTGCATTACATAGTTACATTACATGCCAAGATAGTACAATCTTCCACTTACAAGAACTGAAGTATAAGCTTTATACAAGTGCTAACAAAACTTGTAAGAAAAAGCCCAACTGTAAGGTGATAACCCTACAGCTATCACTACCGGTCTAGGCTAGTCTTGCGGCTCAATAACTCTATCATGGTGCACTATGATCATGGGTCCACATCTTCATCTCCTTTGCAATCATGGTAGTCCTTCCCCTCCAGGTGGTATCTTCTCCTTTGGTCCTTCTGGAACTCCGACAAGTTCATATTGACATCTATCAACCTAGGCCTAATGGAGACAAGATATCAAGGGAATACCTTGTATAAGTCAAGTTTTTTTTACTTAAATTCAAGTTTTAGCAGCTTCGCAGTTAGCAATCCACCTTTGAGGTGCTTCCTCAACCTCCTCACTTTGAATTAACATCTCACAATTGGTGTATTGATGTTGCAGGGGGCATTCCAGTTTTTATAAACTATATCCTTGAAACCCCCAATTTGCAACCACCGCTTATCAAATCTAAATTGCTTATTTTTATGTGGTAAGATAGCACCGGTGTCAATAACCAGGGGTGTACGATCACTTCCAACCCTAGGCATCGTTTTCATTTGGACAACAGGGAATAAAGTTTCCCACTATGCAGAAATAAAAACTCTGTTTCTGGTGGACATGATGAGGTTGTCCTAGTTATTGGCCCATGTAAATCTCCTACCAACATTCTTATGTTTAATATAGTCAAACTTGTTAATCCAATCATTGAACAAATTAGCCCAAAGTTTTTACACCATTATTCTTGTCCCTATGTTGCCTAACATGGTTAAAATCCCCCCCAACATTATGCAACTCATTAATAATTCAAGTTTATGTTCACCATAAGGAGAACCACAACCAGAAATAAACCCCCAAGTAGTTGAATATTACTTGCACTTAATCATCCAAGAAATAAGAAAAGCAAAGCACTAAACACAATAACCTCAAAACATTATTTTTATGCCAACTAGGATACGCTCAGCTGCGTAATCACCAAGAAGCCAATTCCGCTCAAATTCACCAAGTTTATCTAATATTTAGATTCGAGAGTTAGAAAAATCTACTTCTTAGTTTCAAGAAAACCAGTGAATTAGGGTTTTTATTTGTAATGAGCTCATTTTTAGGCTTATTTAAGCCTCTGCCATTCCAGATTAGACCAACTACCATTTTAAGCTGGTGGATAGAGATTTTCTACAACCTTTCCTTCCACTGGATTCCACCCAAAAGTGGGGGTCATCATCACCATTAATGTGGGATGTAGAGGAAGGCGCAACAACATTAAAAATAGAGCAAGACGTACTGACAAATTCTTCACGGTGGATATCAATATCAGGTGGCAGAAACATGTCAAGATGATCACTATGAAACTTTTTGAGTCTACCGAGCTTAGTGGCCTTAGTTATATCCATTTCCGACTAATCTCAGCAATGGATTCACCTAACTTTGCATGATTCAATTTTTTTAGCCAAATCAATTTTCATTGACTTTTTAGATGACGTTGACTTATTAATTTTTTGATTGGGGGTTGTTGATTTGTTAAATAGGAAAGCCTATTTTTCTCTGGACCGAACAGTGTCTGGCCCAGTAAACTCTGATTCCGGCCCGCTCAGCATTTAGGTGCAAGGCCTGTTAAGCCGCCCCGAATCGATACGCTCGCCGCGACCGTCAGATCATCCTAAAATCTGACACCCAGACCCCACGCGTCATCCCCATCCTCCCCTCCGACTCTAGACTGAATCACCTCCGCCGCGTCCGATCCTAAAATCTCCGCAATTCGGCAGGATTTAGGCCCCTCGGGTAAGATTGCTCCCCTATAAATACAGAGCCAGAGAGTTCATCATCGAGCCAGGGAGCACTCGCCGGAGTCCACCATCGCCGCCGCACCTCCAGTCAAGCACCGCGACGCGAGGAAGATGTCATCGAAGCCGCAGAGCACACCCCAAGATCCACCGCCACCGGGAGAGCATCGTCCGCCTCTCAATCGGGACCAGAGATCAACAGAGCGCCGACCCAAGCAAACCCTCGCGCGCTCTGATCTACAACCACATCATCATGTCGGTGGAGCGACCGTCGCCGTCCCTTTTGCCCTGATACGTCTCCAACGTATCTATAATTTTTGATTGTTCCATGCTATTATATTATCTGTTTTGGATGTTTAATGGGCTTTAATTTACCTTTTTATATTATTTTTGGGACTAACCTACTAACCAAAGGCCTAATGAAAATTGCTATTTTTTTTGCCTATTTCAGTGTTTCATAAAAAAGGAATATCAAACAAAATCTAAACGGAATGAAACCTTCGGGAGAGTTATTTTTGGAACAAACATGATCCAGGAGACTTGGAGTGGACGTGAAGAAAGAAGCGAGGAGGCCATGAGGCAGGAGGGCGCGCCCAGGGGGGTAGGCGCGCCCCACCCTCATGGGCCCCTCGCAGCTCCACCGATGTACTTCTTCCTCCTATGTATACCCATATACCCCAAAAACATCCAGGAGCACCACGGAACCCTATTCCCACTGCCGCAACCTTCTGTACCCGTGAGATCCCATCTTGGGGCCTTTTCCGGCGCTCCGCCAGAGGGGGGATCGATCACGGAGGGCTTCTACATCAACACCATAGCCTTTCCGATGATGTGTGAGTAGTTTACCACAGACCTTCGGGTCCATAGTTATTAGCTAGATGGCTTCTTCTCTCTCTTTGGATCTCAATACAAAGTTCTCCTCGATTCTCTTGGAGATCTATTCGATGTAATTCTTTTTGCGGTGTGCATGTCGAGATCCGATGAATTGTGAGTTTATGATCAAGATTATCTATGAACAATATTTGATTCTTCTCTGGAATATTTTATGCATGATTTAGTATCTTTGCAAGTCTCTTCGAATTATTAGTTTGGTTTGGACTACTAGATTGATCTTTCTTGCAATGGGAGAAGTGCTTAGCTTTGGGTTCAATCTTGCGGTGTCCTTTCCCAGTGACAGCAGGGGCAGCAAGGCACGTATTGTATTGTTGCCATCGAGGATAAAAAGATGGGGTTTATATCATATTGCTTAACTTTATACCTCTACATCATGTCATCTTGCCTAATGCGTTACTCTGTTCTTATGAACTTAATACTCTAAATACATGCTGGATAGCGGTCGATGTGTGGAGTAATAATAGTAGATGCAGAATCGTTTCAGTCTACTTGTCGCGGACGTGATGCCTATATACATGATCATGCCTAGATATTCTCATAAGTATTCGCTTTTCTATAATGCAAAATTTCTTGGGTAGCCATACTTTTGATTCTTATAATGCTATGATAGATTTGTTTGGCTGACCACCTCTCTTGGTTAATGGAACTATTTTAACTTTGGAACATGTGATGCAAAGGCTTGAAATTATTAAAAATAAAGTTGCCACTTTAGAGTTGATTGAGAATTTGGATAAAAAGATCCGCAACCAGATTACCCAATATGGATCTATGGTAGGAGTTACTCTGATTTTTTTAAAATAAAAATAACCCATAGTCAATGAAAAAATAGATCAAGATTCCACAGGAATTGATAAACTTGAGGATATTATTACCAACTTAGGGTCTGCCTTTTCTTCCGTGAAAAATACTCCAAATCCTCCCACTACTAGAGTTGCCAAGTTTATGTATGTGCCTAAAAATAAAAAGGGTGAATCTTCTAGTAAGGAAAATGCGGATCTTAAAGTAATAAGCGTTCACCCCAACTTTTTCACTATCATTAAGGAACCTTTTGCTACAATTGATTTTCTTGATTTCTTGCCTAGGAGTTTGATCATTAATAAAAAGAAGGAAACTCCTAAGGGTTATAAGTGTTCTATTGAAGAATTGCCTACCAAAGATGATAATACCTAGATCTATTCTTATTTTTATACCTAGCTAGGGGCGTTAAACGATAGCGCTTGTTGGGAGGTGATACGTCTCCAACGTATCTATAATTTTTGATTGTTCCACGCTATTATATTATCTGTTTTGGATGTTTAATGGGCTTTAATTTACACTTTTACATTATTTTTGCGATAAACCTACTAACCAAAGGCCCAGTGCAAATTGCTGTTTTTTTTGCCTATTTCAGTGTTTCGCAGGAAAGCAATATCAAACGGAATCCAAACGGAATGAAACCTTTGGGAGAGTTATTTTTGGAACAAACGTGATCCAGGAGACTTGGAGTGGCCGTCAAGAAAGAAGCAAGGAGGCCACGAGGCAGGGGGGCGCGCCCAAGGGGGCAGGCGTGCCTCCCACCCTCATGGGACCATCGCAGCTCCACTGGCGTACTTCTTCCTCCTATATATACCCATATACCCCGAAAACATCCAGGAGCACCACGAAACACTATTTCCACCGCCGCAACCTTCTATACCCATGAGATCCCATCTTGGGGCCTTTTCCGGAGCTCCGCCGGAGGGGGAATCAATCACGGAGGGCTTCTACATCAACACCATAGCCTCTCCGATGATGTGTGAGTAATTTACCACAGACCTTCGGGTCCATAGTTATTAGCTAGATGGCTTCTTCTCTCTCTTTGGATCTCAATACAAAGTTCTCCTCGATCTTCTTGGAGATCTATTCGATGTAATTCTTTTTGTGGTGTGTTTGTCGAGATCCGATGACTTGTGGGTTTATGATCAAGTTTATGTATGAACAATATTTGATTCTTCTCTGAAATATTTTATGTATGATTGGTTATCTTTGAAAGTCTATTCAAATTATCAGTTTGGTTTGGCCTACTAGATTGATCTTTCTTGCAATGGGAGAAGTGCTTAGCTTTGGGTTCAATCTTGCGATGTCCTTTCCCAGTGACAGCAGGGGCAGCAAGGCACGTATTGTATTGTTGCCACCGAGGATAAAAAGATGGGGTTTATATCATATTGCTTGAGTTTATCCCTCTACATCATGTCATCTTGCCTAATGCGTTACTCTGTTCTTATGAACTTAATACTCTAGATGCATGCTGGATAGCAGTCGATGTGTGGAGTAATAGTAGTAGATGTGGAATCGTTTCGGTCTACTTGTCGCGGACGTGATGCCTATATACATGATCATGCATAGATATTCTCATAACTATGCACTTTTCTATCAATTGCTCGACAGTAATTTGTTCACCCACCGTAATACTTATGCTATCTTGAGAGAAGCCACTAGTGAAAGCTATGGCCCTCGGGTCTATCTTCCATCATATTATTTTCATATCCACTTGCTATTTCTATTTTTTGCAATTTTTATTTTCCAATCTATATCATAAAAATACCAAAAAAATTATCTTATTATCTCTATCAGATCTCACTCTCGTAAGTGACTGTGAAGGGATTGACAACCCCTTTATCATGTTGGTTGCGAGGTTCTTGTTTGTTTGTGCAGGTACTAGGTGACCTGTGTGTTAGCTCCTACTGGATTCATACCTTGGTTCTCAAAAACCGAGGGAAATACTTACGCTACTGTGCTGCATCACCCTTTCCTCTTCAAGGGAAAACCAACGCATGCTCAAGAGGTAGCAAGAAGGATTTCAGGCGCCGTTGCCGGGGAGGTTGCATCAAGTCAAGACATACCAAGTACCCATCACAAACTCTTATCCCTCGCATTACATTATTTGCCTTTTGCCTCTCGTTTTCCTCTCCCCCACTTCACCCTTGCCGTTTTATTCGCCCTCTTTTCCATTCGCCTCTTTTTGCTTGCCTCTTGCTTGCTTGTGTGTTGGATTGTTTGCCGCGATGGCTTTACCAAAAAGTGTTGATCCTCAGCTTAGAAGGTTGGAAGAAATTGAAAACAATGTTAGAAGTTTTATGTCCTTGTAGTTTGAGCATAATAATTTCTTCAGAAACGAGCTTAAAGAACAAAAAAGTTTTATGGGGTACATGAATAAAGAGCTCGATGATATGTCTAAAGAATTTTATGGTTTGAAATCTCAGTTCGCTCATCTTGAAAAATTAATAGCCCAAATTTCGGATAAGCAGGTCACCTTAGTTAATAAGATGGCCGCCAAACCAGAAGAACTAGACGATAATAAGGATGGAGATCTAAAAGTGATTGATGTGTCTCCTATTAAATCTTTGTTTTGCAATATGAATCTTGATAATGATGGGACTGAAGATGAGTCAACTTTAGTTAAAAGGCGTCCCAATGATTCGGAGTTTTTAGATCTTGATGCAAAAATTGGTAAAATTAGGATTGAAGAGGTCAAAACTTTACATAACAACGAACCCACTATTTTGGATTTCAAGGAATTTAATTATGATAATTGTTCTTTAATAGATTGTATTTCCTTGTTGCAATCCGTGTTAAATTCTCCTCATGCTTATAGTCAAAATAAAGCTTTTACCAAACATATTGTTGATGCTTTAATGCAATATTATGAAGAAAAGCTTGAATTAGAAGTTTTTATCCCTAGAAAACTTTATGATGAG